GAAATGCTCAACATCCCTCATTATAAGGGAGATGCAGATTAAAACCACAATGAGATAACCCCTGTATAATGGCAAAGATTAAAAATATAAAAAGTGGTTAAGTGTTGGTGGGGATGTGGTGAAAAGGGAACTCTCCTACAGCGTTGGTAGGAATGTAAAGTGGTTCAGTCACTGTGGAGAACAATATGGAGGTTCCTCAAAGATCTACAAATACAACTACCATTTGATCCAGCAATCCCACTTCTGGGTATCTACCCAAAGGACGGGAAAATGCTCAGTTGGAAAAGCGCTTGCACATCAATGTTTATTGCAGCATTATTCACGATCACCAAGACATGGAACCAATCCAAATGTCCACAAACAAACTCAGCGTCACTGAGTTCCCTAAATGTAATAGATGTCTTGAGTATGCCACAACTTAAAGAAGTTACTTAGCCATAAAGAACAACTAGACCCTGACATTTGATAGAAAGTGGTCAGAAATGGAGGATCTATTGCTGAGTGAAGTAAGTCACGGTATGAAAGAAAGATATTGTATGTATCCACTTAATATATACTGACTATTTGCACTCTATGGAAGAGATCGAAATATTGGAGGACATAAAAGCAGTGAAACTAGTTAACGAAGATAAGACAGTGTGAAATGGGGCGGGAGAAAAGAAGAGTAGAGAGAAGAATAGAAACAGAGCAAATAGAGAGGCATGACATTAGCAGGACACAGAAATGGTTTATTACCTGTTGATGATGACATGTATAGTATTCTCAACTGGATTGGTCTGAGAAGTATTTGATGTTGGGTAAAGTCTTTTTACAAGAAAAATGATAATGATTAACTGTTTAAAAAGTAATTGGAATAATAATAATAATCGGGAAAAAAATTAAAAGCTATTGGATGATGAAATGGGGATTTTAGTGTCTGTATTGACTGATATGCATGGTATGCCTTCTGGGAAAAGAAATTTAATACACTGTAAAGTTATATGTGATTCAATGTAATATAAACGAGATTATGATGATAATAAATAATTTTTTAAAATTATTCCCCCCCCAAAAAAAAAGAAAAGAAAAGAAATTACTGCAGATACTAAGAACTCCTTGAAGTTTCTGGACAACATTTTAAGAAAGAAGAATGTCTTAGAAGGTCTGGAAGGAAAGTGCCCATGGTTTACGACTATGGCAAGGCCCTACCTGCTTGCAGGTACTCTGGCTGCAGAGTTGGAGGCAGCCCCTCAGGCAGTGGATAGCCATTCTTCCGGGCCACGATGAGATGAAAGGCAGCACAGAACTCAGGAAGGGTCAGGGCTCCGTCGCAATCAGCGTCACTGAGTTCCCTAAATGTAACAGATGTCTTGAGTATGCCGCGACTTAAAGAAGTTACCCAGCCCCAAACACGTACATGCGACTATCTCTCAGGCTCTCTGGTGACAGCCTTGCAGGATCCCCAGTCATCCTGGCCAAACCCACTCAAACTCTCAGGGAGTCACTCAGAGGAAGAAACTGCTGACTGGCAGCACTGGTATCACTAGCATTTTATAAATAAATGTGTAAATATTCCAGGTTCTCTGGCAAGTCTGTTTGATAACACTGAGGACAAGAGACAAGAAAGTACAGTATAAGCAGAAAACGATGCCTGAACTGCACAGGCAGTTGACCATCATTCAGTAAATTCAGGCTGCGTGGTATGAAGAGCCCCAACCTTGCCACTCAGAACAGGCAGAGGAAGGTGTGCGCAGTCATTGCACAGCTGTCCCAGCCCTTGTGCAGTTTACTCAGAGCTCAGAAACACACTCTTCATTTCTCAACTTTAAGGGAAAAATCTGAACTTTGCAACTCATGTAAATCTTTGCATCATATGTTCATTGCTTGAGAATTCCCTCCTGGGAAAACATAACTAAGCGCAAAAAATATTGATTTAATTATATTTTCAGATAACTAGCAACCAGAGGAGGCTAAAGAGGATGGGACAAAAAAGAAGAAATGGAGAATCTTGAAAAGAATTTTCTTTGCTTCAGTCATTATTTATCATTAGAAGATACAAACCTATTGACTCGGCACAAAAGAAACCTACTTGCCAAAGTGAGTAAGATTCCATAAGCCCCACCATTTATTAGGTGTTGTGGCACATGTACTCTATGGAATACTACTCAGCCATTAAAAAAAACCGAGACCCTGACATCTGAAACAAAGTGGACAAATAGGGAAGATTTAATATTAAGTGAAGTAAGTCAGACAATAAAAGACAGACATTGTATGTCCCCACTTGTCACCAATACATGCTAAATGTCTGCACTCAATTTTTTAAAATTATTTTCATTTAACTTGACTTACCTATTTATCTATCTATTCATTTTATTTAATTTGACCAGAGAGGAACAGAGAGAGAGAGAGAGAAAGTGAGAAAGCAAGCCACTAGGTTCAGGACTTCAACCGCGGTTAGCCATGTGGGAGTCCAGCACCCTTAACCACCACCATGCCACCTGCTGGCCCCAATGTCTGCACTCTATAGCAGAAACTGAAAGATTGGAAGGTGTAATAGCAGGGAGGGCAACTGTAGATAGTAGAGACAGTATAGGAAGGGGTGGGCAATGTGGGTGGGAGAGAGGGGATCGGGAGAAAAAAAAAACATTTAAGAGACACAAAAATAAAAAGTTACCTGTTGATGATAACGTATATGGTAATGCCTTTGACTTGACTACTACACACTGTATTCACACTGGGAAAACCATGTTGTACACCGTAAAGATGTACGGTGATTAAAGGTCAATAAAAAATTTTAAAAAGAAATATCGATAAAAAGAAGAGACAAGTATACTTATGCTAGGACAAGTATAGACATAAGGCTTGCTCAAACTTGTACCAGAAGGTATTATTACTTGCAAGAAAAAGTGTCTCTAAGGTGAGCTCTATAACTTTCCTTTGGATCATTCATACCCTCTGTCTCAAATCTGGAAGGTCCTGAAATACACAGTCCCAAAAGTAAGGAATCAAGGAATTGCTTCAAATGCTGGCTGTAGAGCAGACCATTCAGATTTGTAGATGTGTATCAACCAAAAGATAGAAAGTCTCATGCTGATAATGTTATGACTTGGGAATTCCGCCAAATCACATTGGATTCTTTTCAAAATGATCATTTCTTTTTTTTTTCCTAGCTTTAAAATCTAATATAAGGCCTATTGTAAATAAATAAATACACACACTCACACACACATATATACCAGAGCGTATTGTTAAATGCAGCTCAGAATCCCAGATACATTGCCATGAACAAGTATTATTAGAGAGTTTTCCAATAAGATGCGCAAAACATGACAAGTAATTTATTTGTTTATTTATTTATTATTTAGTAGTAGTATACAATTTGAGCAGAGAGAGACAAAGACAGAGAGAGAGGGAGAGTGGGAAAGCAAAATGTCAGGTCGGGGGCTCAAACTACAGTCTCCCACGTGGGAGTCCAGCAAATTAACCACCACCTGCCAGCCCCAAGTAATTTTAAATCCTATCATAATTTTTGTAAATCCCTATGAAAAAAGCTTTACATAAACATTCAATGTTTTAATTATATATTTATAGCGATCTCCTGCCCAGTTTTGGAGAAGAACTAACCCACACCCAGCCAGGTTTACAGAGGCACTCAGTGTTTCCATCGATGCAGATAGAGCCATCTGGATGTACGGTACCAGCACAGCCTTCCAGAACCACAGCTGCGCAGGCTCAGTTGCAAGGTGCGGTGGGTGTCACAGGTGCAAGTAGAATTAGGGACCTGCCAATCCACAGCAGCCAAAATTCAAGGCAGCCAGAATAGTCAAATTAAACTTAATTTCAAAATATTCCTAGACCTTCTGTTCACCTAGCCTTATAAAATTATAAAGAATAGTTTTTCAAGGTTCTCTGCTTATTCGCAAACAGGAAAATATGAAAATAAAATATATGAGATGGAAAGTTGCATCTGCTCACAATTGCCTAGGCTGAAAAAGGACTGAAATGAGGGTAATAATTAGGAAATTACTTTAAAACACACACACACACGCACACACACACGCACGCACACACACACACGCACACACAAAGAAATACCTTTCAAAACACAAAGGTCAGAGCTAAAGAATGGGTATGTATGATAGTAGGATACCACTTGGCATTCATTGTACTTACCAAATGTAGGAGAGTTCTGGGATGGAAAATGTCAGGTCTGGGGCTCGAACTACAGTCTCCCACGTGGGAGTCCAGCAAATTAACCACCACCTGCCAGCCCCAAGTAATTTTAAATCCTATCATAATTTTTGTAAATCCCTATGAAAAAAGCTTTACATAAACATTCAATGTTTTAATTATATATTTATAGCGATCTCCTGCCCAGTTTTGGAGAAGAACTAACCCACACCCAGCCAGGTTTACAGAGGCACTCAGTGTTTCCATCGATGCAGATAGAGCCATCTGGATGTACGGTACCAGCACAGCCTTCCAGAACCACAGCTGCGCAGGCTCAGTTGCAAGGTGCGGTGGGTGTCACAGGTGCAAGTAGAATTAGGGACCTGCCAATCCACAGCAACCAAAATTCAAGGCAGCCAGAATAGTCAAATTAAACTTAATTTCAAAATATTCCTAGACATTCTGTTCACCTAGCCTTATAAAATTATAAAGAATAGTTTTTCAAGGTTCTCTGCTTATTCGCAAACAGGAAAATATGAAAATAAAATATATGAGATGGAAAGTTGCATCTGCTCACAATTGCCTAGGCTGAAAAAGGACTGAAATGAGGGTAATAATTAGGAAATTACTTTAAAACACACACACACACGCACACACACACGCACGCACACACACACACGCACACACAAAGAAATACCTTTCAAAACACAAAGGTCAGAGCTAAAGAATGGGTATGTATGATAGTAGGATACCACTTGGCATTCATTGTACTTACCAAATGTAGGAGAGTTCTGGGATGGAAAGTTTTGATTTGGTGAAGAAGTTCTTGGCCACAGAACCTGTCAAAAACAATTATTTCAATGAGACATTAATTACCTATCTACACCAGTTTTTATACTTACACACAAATGAATCATCATTTTCTCATTTAGCCATCTCCAACGTATAATCAAAACATAACATTAATTCCTCAAAGCAACTATGAATCATGGGACTTAAAGTAGCATATGAACAGCTTTTAAAATAATATGCAAACTAGAATAAGGCAAATGAAGCAGAGACGTAATGCTCATGACATAAGAAAAACCTATCATTTAATTCCTGCTTCATTTTTACCCACTCTTCAAAATTCTCCTAAAAATTCAAAAGACATATTTCAAAATTTTGATCAAGTCTGAAAGTTTTGTTCTAAGTGCCAGGCACTTTGAATAAAAGGGTAGAAAAGTACCCAGCTGCAATAGAAAACTCAGCAAAAGGAAGAAATTGAACACCATTAACCCCACCACACAGATAAGACAGACATATAAGGAAATATTTTTGGTGAGACCGGTTGCTCTTTGAGAAACTTAAGAATCTTTCATTATTCATTGTACATTTTCTTATTATCAATTGATCAGGCAATAAATTCCATTTTATATGTCACATGACTTTAAGTTCCAATTGTACTCGAAATGTTAGACCTTACTGAGGTCGAATTTCTACTTATGCTTTCAGCTCTCAACACAGTTTCATCGAGCAAAAGCTTCAACTCTAGCACACAGAAGAGTCAAATAAAAGCTCCAAGCTCTCTTCGCAACTGATGAAGTCCAAAATCTTTCCACGACAATAACAAGTCTTTCAAATGGCCTTAAAACTGTAGGACTTGAGGCTGGCAGGTGGCGTGCATGGTGGTTAAGGGCACTGGACTCCCACATGGCTGACTGTGGTTTAAAAAAAAATAAAGAAAACTATGGGACTATAGTTCAGTCCCATATTTAGTTAAAAAATCCCAACATGCGACTAGTTGAATAAATGATTACACATTCAAACAATCTAGTAGTATACAGCTACAAAAGAGAACACAAAGTATCTCTATATACTATATGAATATATAGTAATCCATACATAATGGATCCTAGAGCAGACTTATTTTACTTTGGTAGATTGTTAAGGATCAAAGGCAAAGTACCCTATAAATCAATGAGCCTTCTCCCTCCCCAAAGTGTCTGGGAAATAATGCTGACATAAGACTCAGCTACCAATGTAGCCACCTTGTCATGCATTTGTCAGAAATGTCTCACAAGCCTACTTACCAGCTATTTTACAGGCACAAAGATATAAAGACACCTTACCTTCATCTCCTTCATCCCCCCCCCCTTCATCTCCTATCTCCAAAGAAAACTAGACCTAAACGTGCAGCTAGAGGACTGGCCTCACAGTTCAAGCAGATGGCATAATGGTTATGTTGCTGGACTCCCATGTAGTTGACCATGGTTTGAGTCCCAGACCCAGTAGCTTAAAACTCAAGCCAGACACATGTGTGTTCATGTCCAAAATCCTTAGAGGAGAACAGAGAAAGGATTACGGCATGGCCATCCCCCCTCAGTGGTGATTTCTCGCTTTCTGTCTCTCTGTCTCAGCAGTGAGTGCACACGCTCTATAGCAAAATCCTCTCTTTAAAAAAAGAAAAAGAACTCGCCTGGCCTTCAGACAACAGACTGTTCTACCACAGTGTCCTGGAGAAGTTAGCTGGAGCCCATAGGGAAGCCTACAGCTAGCAAGTTCAGTTATAGCCTGGCTGCCAACTACTGCAGAAGGGAGCCCCAGAGAGAGCCCAAGCACTCTTTTTTTTTCTCTTTCCTTTGATCCTGGAAATTTACACCTTCACCCCAGCCCCAAAGCATTGTAAAATCCCAAGCCAGTCTCCTTTCCTTGCTCACTCAAGTCATTTTCGGATCTCCTGGAGAGCCATATATAGTACAAAAGAAGAAGAGGGAAGGGTGAGGCTTAAAAACTGTCAGTGGTCAAATATCTAAAATGGATTCAGACTTTTTATTACAAGGAGCCTCTTAGACCAATAAGCTAAGCTATACAAAAGCACTGATATATCAGTAATAAAATGCTAACACACAAATGCATATCTTTTAAAAATAAAAACCAACAATCCTATATAAAAATGAATAAAGCTATGAGAGTTCACAGAAAGAGATACAAATGATTCTTAATCATGTGGAAAAAAAAAGTTTAACCTTGTTCATATGAGATCTGTAAATTAAAACCATACACATATACAATTTCTTGCCTATCAAGATGGGAAAAAATACAAAAGTAAGATGACATGCTCTGATAACAAGACTGTGGGGAAACAGGCATACTCATACAATGCTAGTGGGATTACATAATGACACAACCGTTGTGAAGAAGCGTGTTGCAATATCTAGCAAAATCACATACGGATTTAACCTTTGATCCAGTAATCCCACTTGCAATTTATCCAAAGATACACTGAAAAAAATGCCAAAAGACATGCAAACGGCTATTACGACAGAAACATTTCTGATAGCAAAAGACTAGAAATAATCCCAACACGAGACTAGCTGAATAAATGATTACACATTCAAACAATCTAGTAGTATATAGCTACAAAAGAGAACAGAGAGTATCTCTACATACTGTTATGGAGTAATCACCAGGGTATACTGTTCAGTGAAAAACACAAGATGGAGAAAAGTGTAAATGGCATTCTCCCATTTATCTGAGACAAGACGGACACACACACACACACACACACACACACACACACACAAGACAGGTATATACAGGTATATGTATTTGCTTTTTTTTTAATTGCCAGAAGGCACATGTGCTTTCCAGAGAGAGACAGACAGAGAGAGAGAGAGAGAGA